CAGCAAACATGAAAAGATAATAGCCAGAAAAAATTCAAAGGAAAGCAACAGAACAGAAAATTTTTAAAACGTGATTAACATCCAGTACCGACAAAGAGGGAGAAAATAGGCAAACCCATGCATTTTGGGGGGGAGTGTGCATTACGACAATATTTTGTAACACAATCTTGCAATATTTATTAACTATGTAAATTCACCTACCCCTAGACCCAGCGAGCCTTATGTTTCAAAAATCGATCCTATAGAAATAAAAACTCCAATTGGTTAGGGTATATGTACAGGGACATTGATTTCAGTATCATTTATTGGTAGAAAAAGCTGAGAACTATCTGAATGGTCATAATTATGAAAACATCTACCCCAGAATTAATGTCTATTTTCAGTATCCTGAACATCCCATTGTTCTACTCAGCATTGAGCCTTTGGACAGTCTGTTTCTTTTACCCAAACTGCTCCTTAATTCTGACAAAAACTTTCTCATCCTTCAAGTCTCAACAAAGATATCGTAATGTTTCTAAAGGGTGTAAGAGAGAAAGTATCATGAAAATGTGAATCACGCGCACTGGCTAGCAATTGGATGAATCTCACAAACAAAGTGAAAGAAGCCAGACGCAAAAGAGCGCATACAGTGGAACAGAAAGTTGAGAATAAGCAAAGCTGACTGTGCTGTTAGCTTTGGGAGGTAGTGACTCAGACAGGGCACATGGAGACTTTGGGAATCTATCACTTTCTATTTCTTGATCTGGATGCTGGCCACAGGGTGAGTTCACTTTGTGAAAATTCATCAAGCCAATAATGATGTGTGTACTTTTCTGTGTGTACATTGTACTTCAATAAAAAGCTAAAAATAAACCCAATCTATTTTAGGAAGTTACCTTCTGGATATAACCAAGAGGAAATCTGTAGGTGAACCAATGGTACCTAAGAAGAGAACACTGAATTCAATCTCTACGTTGTCGCCTGTAACATTTTATCCCCATAAAATATAAAAATGTGCTAATTTAGAAACTGCTTTTTAAAAATCAGAAGCTTTCACTCTGCTGTTTTTCACTCCAATAGTTGAACTGTCATCAATAACAACAGAAGTTAACAGTCAGCAAGCTCTATCCCAGGGCTTGTACTGAGCATTTAACAAACATCACCCTGCTGGCTCCTCATGACAGTCCTGTGAGGTGGGTGTTGTTCCCATTTCTCAGATGAGGAAACTGAAGTTCAAAGATCTAGTGACTCACTAAAGGTCAGAGGTAATTAGGGTCAGAACTGGTTTGCTAACTCCAGAGCTTATGCTTTTATAGAAAAAATATCTCTATAAGAGGAAAAGTAGCTAAAAAAAGGAAACAGAAATCTCTTTTGAGAGACTCATTTGGGTTTTTTAAAATTATTTCTAAAACAGCTCTATTGAGGTACAACTTATAGACAATAAATTACCGGTCAAATATACCACTGATGCTTTGACATGCGTATACACCCATGAAACCAGCTCCACAATCAAGACAGTGAACATGTGTATCATCCCCCAATTTTCCTCATGACCCTGTTCCTGTTCTCAGGCAATCACTAATCTGTTTTCTGCCACTATAAATTAGTTGGAATTTTCTAGATTTTCCTAGAAATAGAATCAAATATAGAGAGAACAAACTAGTGGTTACCAGTGGAGAGGGGGGAGAGGAGCAATATAGGGTTGGGGAGTGGGAGGTACAAACTATTAGATGTGAGATAGGCTACAAGGATGTATAGTACAACACGAGGAACATAGGAAATATTTTGCAATAACTGTAAATGGAGTGTGACCTTTAAAAATTGTGCAAAAAATTAAAAATTTAAAAAATAGAAATAGAATCAAACAGCATGTGTTGTTTCTTATCTGGCTTCTTTCACTCAGTGTACTTATTTTTGATTCATCTATTTTGTTGCATGTCTGAACTTAATTTCTTCTGGTTGCTGTGTAGTATTCCATTATTCTATACTACAGAGCTACAGTAATCAAGACAGTATGGTACTGGCACAAAAACAGAAATATAGATCAATGGAACAGGACAGAAAGCCCAGAGATAAACCCACGCACATATGGTCACCTTATATTTGATAAAGGAGGCAAGAATATACAGTGGAGAAAACACAGCCTCTTCAATAAGTGGTGCTGGGAAAACTGGACAGGTACATGTAAAAGAATGAAATTAGAACACTCCCTAACGCCATACACAAAAATAAACTCAAAATGGATTAAAGGCCTAAATGTAAGGCCAGACACTATAAAACTCTTAGAGGAAAACATAGATTTTTTTTTTTTATTTAACAACGCCATTTCTTCTACTAAATATTCAAAAGCCTCACTAAGATTTTTGGAGAAAAGGATCACTTTTCAACAATGGCACCTGGGACAGTCCCCAAATAGGAAATAAGCCAATGAAATAAATTGTGAAAATTTATCAGAAATAATGAAATGAGGCATCAGGGCAACCACACCCTCAAGGAATGGTGATGGTGGGGAGTTTTTATGTGCTGTCTGGGGCAAGGGGAGAAGGGATATATATAATGTAGTAGTCAAAAGCACAAGTCCTAGAGCCAACCTGCCTGGTTTCAAATCCAGTTCCATCATTTATTGGCAGTGAGGACGTTCCAAGGAGGGAGATGGTTGCCCATGTCAGATGCTACTGAGAAGCTGAGACAGCCAAGGACGGAGAAAGGGTCACTGGGTGTGAGGGTTTCAACGTCACTGATGTCCTTCCCAAGGGCAGGTTCAGTTCAGCAGTGTGTGTAGAAAGGATTACCAGAGGTTTTAGATGAGTGTGTGGGAGAACAGGAGAGGCAGTCACTCCTGGGGGAAATGAGTTCCAAGTCCCAATTCAAAAAGCCAAAACCACACTTTGGAATGCATGTCTCAGTCGTGGGAGGTATGGGAGAGGGAGGGCATGAAAGCTAACCCTTGGTGAGATCCTCTGCCCCTGACACCCCCTACACTCCCGTGAGAAACTGTAAGGTTTCTATAATGTTATAAGATAACCATTCTGTCATGTGGTGCTTCTCAACTTCAGTATTTCCAAATACATCACCTCCCTGATTTCTGCATGTCTGTACAGTAGCTCTACCATTATTTTCTTAGTGACGGTCTTTAAATGGGCTCGCTTTTAAAATGAAATTGACAGGTACTTTAACGGATATTTTATAACACAACCATCAATAGTAATGGCGTATCATTAGCCTTGATCAGAACGTACTCCATAAAACTAAATGCAAGGAAAAACAGAGATATAATTGAAGCCAAGCAAAGTTTATAAAATTCTAGCCAAATGCTGTTGCTCCCTCAGTTGGAGAAATGCTATAACACTCTGACCTCCACCTGTGATCAAAACCAAAACCAATGCTAAGGGGGAAGGGGGGTTGGGGGAGGGAAGTATTGGGATGTAGGGATTGGCAGATGCAAACTATTATATACAGAATGCACGAACAAGAAGATCCTACTGGATAGCACAGGGAACTACATTCAGTATCCTGTAACAAACCATAATGGAAAAGAATATAAAAACGAATGTATACATATGCATAACTGAATCACTTTGCTGTACAGCAGAAATTAACACAACATTGTAAATCAACTACACTTCAATTAAAAAACAAAACATTAGAAACAGTGCTAACATGGTAGTGTATACACACATAAAAATGAAACAAGTTACAAAAAAAGTACTCACCCTTACTACAGACGATGTGCTATGACATTCTCCGTTCTAGTCCGTATCTTTTTAAAATGAGGGACTTGATTGCCTACATGGAGTCACCATCCATTAGTGGCCTAGTACACAGTTTCAAAAACAACGGATTAGTAAATATGGCATTAGTGTTAAAGACACACCAGCACCAGCCTGAGATCTTCTATTTGGACTTCTTAAGATCTGAAAGGTCCTTAAGACCTTACTGAAAAGGCAGTAACTTTCTCACCAGGTGATTCAATGTCATTTCACACTGTGTCACCACCTGGACCCCTGTCAACAGGCGTGCTGCTGTGTAACGGGGGACAGGTCACACTGTAGGGTAAGCTGACCTAGAGACTCTGCAAGTCTCTAGTAAGGGGCCGTGATCTCTCGGACGGGAGAGGTCCAGTGGGCTGCCTCACTGCCGCTCTGCACACACAGGCTCAGGTTCACAGCCCCAGTCACATAACCAAAAATTTCATTAGGTGTGGACAGGCCTTATGTCTTTGAATTGGAGGCCAGGTCTCCAGGGCCCCTTTTAATCTGTATCATAACTGTATTAGTTTCCTACTGCTGCTGTAACAAGTGACCACAAACTTAGCAGCTTACAACACAAATTTATTCTGTTACTGTTCTGGAGGTCTGAAATCTGAAACCAGCTTCACTGGGCTAAAGTCGAAGTGTCAGCAAGGCTGGCTCCGTTTGGATGCTCTGAGATGTTCTCTCTCCCTTTTCAGCATCTGGTGGCCGCCTGTATTCCTCCACTTCCACCCCTTCCCCCACATTCAAAGCGCATCACTCCAGTCTCTGCTTCTGGCGTCACATGCCTCCTTCTCCTCCGACTCTGACCCTCCTGCCTTCCCTTATAAGGAAGGACTCTTTTGAGGACATCCGGCCCACTTGGAGGCTCTTGGGTAATCTCCCATCTCAAGATCCTTAATCACATCTTCAAAGCCCCTTTTGCCACATAAGGTAACATATTCACAGTTGGAGGGATCAGGGGCTCATCATTCATCCTGTCACAATGACCAAGGTGAAGGCGGATTTAAGCATGAAAGGGCAGAAACGGGAGCAGAGACGAGCTCCAACATCTGGTCAAGGTGCCAAGTGCAATGTCGGGTGCTGCAAACAGGAGCACACAGGAGTAAATCCCACAATAGACGCAAGGGCATGAAATGAGTCTGACTCACAGGGAGTGAGCCAAGGTCAAGGTCGGGTTAGGACCTCTGGTTCCAGCTGACACAGAGGTGAACCGCAGCCCACTCAGGGGAGCAAAGGATAAACAGCAGAGGACCAACACACCGGCAATGGCAACTGAGATTTATTTAAACGGTAAAAGCCGACAGGAACAGGAACTGGTACAAGCACCTCAGTCAGTGAGGTCTCTCGGCGAGCGGGGCAGACTGGTAGCCGAGGCCTAACCACCACTCAGGAAACTCGGAGACTCAACTCCGGAAAGGTCAGTGGCTTCAGCTCTGGCTCAGCACGAGTCTTGAACAGATCAGTAAGTTATTTCCTTCAAGCCTGGGAGGAAACACACAGAAGCTGTGAAGAGACTCTCACGGATTGGGGCAGAGAAAACAGCCAGAGGTGGGAGAATGTGACCCCCGGATCCCAGGCCCACAGTGACCGGCTCTGGGGCACCAGCCACACGTGTGATCACCGCAGCCCTGGCCTCCTGGTTGTGTAAGATGAGACTTCACAAGGCAACAGGAGGTTGGATGAGACTGTGTTTATGGGTGGTTTTGGAGGGATTGAGAAATGTTATAAGAGTTTACGGGCTCTCTGCAGTAAACCTGAAAGTCTATCCTTTAAACGCTGAACTTTTTTTTTCTTCTGAATAATACTTCTCATTCAGACATCTTGTTTAAGGAGTTCATTCTTGAGTGTTCTGCTTTTTACCTTAAACATTTAAAAATTAATATTGGCCTGTTTTTGGTGAGAAAGAAGCCAAAGGGCTAGTGACTAGCCTTAGCAATTTTGTTCACCCTTTTCTCTTTGAGTCAAATTCAGTAATAAAAAAGACTAGTGTAGGCAATTTATTTCTCCACATGTCTAGTAATTTTTTTATCGTATACTGACATGGCAGATAGTAAGTTGAGGAGACTCTGAATTCTAGTGTCCTCCTCTGCAGCGTGTTGAGCTTCGCCCTAGCAGGCAGTTATATTATTGGAGAATCATCCTGATCTTCTAGAGTCTTGCTTGCAGGGTTGCTTTAGTATGAATCTGTCTAGGTTTTGCACTAGAGCCTATTCTTTAGGAACTTAGCCTTTTAAATGCTGAACTTCAAGCAAACACAGTTCTTTCTTCCCCACACACATATAAGTACAGTAAGTCCCCTACATACAAACGAGTTCCGTTCCGAGAGCGCGGTCGTTAAGTCCAATTTGTTTGTTAAGTCCAACAAAGTTAGCCTAGGTACCCAACTAACACAATCAGCTATATAGTACTGTACTACAGGTCTATAATACTTTTTTTTTTCACACAAATAGTACTTGAAAAACAAACACAAAAAATAAAGAAAACATTTTTAATCTTACAATACAGTACCTTGAAAAGTACAGTAGTACAGTACAACAGCTGGCATACAGGGGCTGGCATCGAGTGAACAAGCAAGAAGAGTTACTGACTGGAGGAGGGAGAGGAGGTGGGAGATGGTAGAGCTGAAGGATCCTCAGCAATAGGAGACGGAGGGCAAGCTGTAATTTCACTCACGCATGACGTTGACGGAACGCAAATTTGCATCTTTGAAAGTTCGCACCTTGAAGGTCTGTACGTAAGGGACTTACTGTACTGATACAACAAAACAGCCAGGCACAAAGTGGGGAAAAGAAGCCCCTTACATAAAAATGCTCAATACATCGCTACTTTACAGAAACTAGAATTAGCTCTATGCTATTACAAACCACCTATATTTTTTTAAGTGTGAGAAAGTTAAGTAAATTCAGACATAGTCTCATGACAGAATATTTATAAAACCATTAAAATGCAAGGGGAAATGCTTATAATATTAAGTTAAAAAGATCAGGAATCAAGGTTACATAAATAGATAAATTCAACTCTGCTAAAAACAAAACAACAGCTAGGAAAAGAATGGAAGGGAAAAGCTGCCAGAGGTTATCTCTGAGTGATGGGCATACGGGTGATTTTTTTTTCTTTGCCATACTTTTTTAGAAGTTTCCAAAGTCCCTACTAAAAATTACACTGTTTTTAAAAGTGCGGGAGGACAGCAGTACAAAAACACACTAATAAATGATTTTTTAAATAAAAAATAACTTAAATGGATTTTGTGGGCTGAACTGCCCAGCTGGGTAAATTTATAAACTAGTGGAAAGATAAGCCCAAGGGGGATGATTAACAACCTGCAATTTTCACACAGGAGACAGTCCTTGACTCTGCCAAGTTCTTTGTTTCGTATGGACTACCTGCCTAAAGCCATGTGTCAGACACATCGATAGGAAGCTTAAGGGCACCTATGACATTAAAGGCCAGGACCAAGATCTAAAATGGTCTCCAGTGGCTGGAGAGCCACCCAAGGGCTATCCCCCAGGGGAAGCAAGGTCAACAAGGGGCAGCTGTAAAGGAGGAACTCGATCAAGATCAAGCCAACAAGAAACACTGAGACAAGGCTCCACGCTCTGTCCCTATGGCCCTACTCTTCCAGGCCGGGGAAATTCATCTTAAATATAAGAGAAGAGAAGTTCAACCCACAGCTGCAGGGGTGTTGGAGAGATATAATGATCTGTGTGTGTAACATCTAGTAAACCTGGTTACAAGTTGATTAAAAAGACAATCATGGGCTTCCCTGGTGGCGCAGTGGTTGCGAGTCCGCCTGCCGATGCAGGGGACACGGGTTCGTGCTCCGGTCCGGGAAGATCCCACATGCCGTGGAGCGGCTGGGCCCGTGAGCCATGGCTGTTGAGCCTGCGCGTCCGGAGCCTGTGCTCCGCAACGGGAGAGGCCACAACAGTGAGAGGCCCGCGGACCGCAAAAAAAAAAAAAAAAAAAAAAAAAAAAAAAGACAATCATTGGGTCCTTTTATTAAGATGATTACAAGACTCAAGGTCTCTTACCATCCAGCTGAGAAAATTCCACAGTCTTCTAAAGGGCTGTTGGTTTGTTTTCATACATGTGGTTTATTTAAACAGTTCTGCTGGGTTTTGTGCTATAAAAACACGGAGGATATAACAGCTGATTCTCTGGCTATGTTTGTGGATCAGATCCACGTATATATATTCGTCCCCTAGTTCTTCCTGGGTCGAAAATTCCCGTCAAGTCTTATGTTCTCTGGAGACAAAAAAATTCCCCCTTTCTAGGTTAAATCAATACAAGTGAAGTCACTTACCCAGTCCACTTCCTCCTTTGGTGGCCCAGCAAAGGCAGTAATGCTGCATCAGTTGTTCAAGAAGCTCCATTTCATCCAGGAACTCAAGGGACTCTATTCTGTGGAGAGAATGAAGAGACAACAGTACAAATGTATCCAATCAAAAATGAAGGCCATGACCCATGCTTATAGTCATGGAAAGGTGTTCAGGATATACTATGTGAAAAGAAGCAGGCTACAGAATAGTATGCATGGTGTGGGCCCATTTTAACTTATTTTTATTGAAAAGGAGAAAAAATCCCATAAGCAAAGTCAAAAGTGACAAATGACAAACTAGAAAAAAATGTTTGCAATAGAAATGTCAAGGGGTAGATTTCGTTGTTATATTAAGAGCTGTTACACTTCAATAAGAACATCTTTTAAAACTTATTTAAAATATGGGTAAAAGACCAGTTCACTGGCAAGGAAAAACAAGAGCTTTTCAACCTCATTTATGTGAAAAGAAATGTAAATTAAAACACATGAAATGTTTTCAGCTAACAGTTGACAAAGATAAAAAAGGCTGATACATCCTTAAAAATAAATAAATAAATAAACATTTTTTAAAAGGTTGATATACATTTTACCAAGGACATGGGAAAGAGGTGCTCTCCTGCATTACTAGCAGGATGACAAAATAGTATAACCTCTCTGAAGGGCAATTTGACCACCTCTATCAATGTTTAAAATGTACATCCTTTCATTCTGCAATTCTGCTTTAAGAATTTACCCTATAGGTGTTCAAGAAATCTCACTGCAGCATCACAGCTGCAATGTAGTAACAGCAAAAAGACAAAACAAAAAACAAACTTTAAAGTAGAAGAGATGGGTTGAATAGATTAAACACATTCATACAATAGGATACTGTGAAGCCATATAGGGTAGGTTTATATGAATTGACATGGAACAGCCTCTAAGACCTATCATGGAATTTAAAAAGCAAGCTGTTTAGGAGGTAATGTACCTAGTATATTACTATCTATGTAAAGAAAAAGTGGGGGAGATATATGGTTATATATGCATGGACTAATTTTAGAAACTGCAGAAGAAAGTGGTAATGGTGGTTGTCTCTTGAAACAGAAGGTAGATGATGGTAGTGAGGGTGAGGAACCGGGTGTTTTGTTTTGTTTTCACTCTGTACTACTTTATTCTCGTTAATTTTTTTCCCCATCATGTGCTTATATGACTTTTTTCCAAAAATCATTTTAAATGTAAACTTTTAATTATATACACATACGAAACATACGAAACAGCTCTTTAAAATGTTTTCTGTTGAGATATGCACACACTGGGGCGGTGGGGACAACGCAGGCATTTCCAAAAAGAGTAAAGAAGAAAAATAAAAGGTGATCCATATTCCACTATTTACAGCCACTGTTAACATGCCGGTATTGCCATTCATCCAGGCTGTGTGTGTCTGTGTTTGTGCACATGTGCGTGCGCAGGAAAGTGTATAGATGTACACGCTTGTGCATGTTTCTGCATTTGTGTTTAAGCTCCCGCCCTGGTGTGCAGGCCAAAGAGTCACATCTGAAGTAAGAATGACTATCCAAGGAGTACTCTGGTGGCTTCCCAACTAATCTTAGCAGAGGACCTCAAAGCAGGCTTCCTGGTATGAGAAGGAACCAGCATCACGATCAAGGTTCCATCACCGTCATGACCAAGTTCAACTATCAGGACACATTAGACTGTGAAGCTGCTCCCTAGAAGGTGAACTCTGCAAAGACAGGCATGATGCACAGTAGGCATCTGTTAAATCAACAGGCCAGCCTCCGGTTTCTCTTTATACAGAGTATCTGGCAAAAGCCCTTGACAAATGTAGACACAAACTATGAGGCATCTGCAGAGCTGGGAGGGCTGGTCGGCCTGGGGTGGACAGACCGAAGCCTGTCCCGCCTCTTTCCCCATCTCTGTTAGGACAAAGGCTGCTGTCTGCAACATAACTAAATGCCCAGCTATAGACATTACTTTTTAATTACTTTAAAATTATTATTATCAAGGAAACAACCTAAGTGTCCACTGATGGATGAATGGATAAAGAAAATGTGGTATATATACTGACATTTACAATGGAGTATTATTCAGCCATAAAAAAGAATGAAATCTTGCCACATGTGACAACATGGATGGACCCAGAGGACATTATGCTAAAGGAAATAAGTCAGAGAAAGACAAATACTGTAGGATCTCTCTTCATGTGGAATCTAAAAGAAAACAAACAAAAAAAACAATTGGTAGTGCCAGAGGTGGGCGATGGGAGGGCAGGCAGGCAAAATATGTGAAGGGGGTCAAAAGGAACAAACTTCCAGCTGTGAAATACGGAAGTCACGGGGAAGTAATGTATAGCATGGTTATTATAGTCAATAATGCTGTATTGCGTATTTGAAAGTTGTTAAGAGTAAATCTCAAAAGTTCTCATCACAAGAAAAAAAAAATCTGGGAAAGTAGTGAAGATTGCTGCCATGTCCTGCCTGCCATTTGCTGCACATGGTGGGGTGTTACTGCAGGACCTTGCTTCAGATGTGATGGCCCGCACTATGGAACCACTGGAAACTTCTTGCTCATCATTTGCCTGAAATCTTGGCTTGTGTACACCTTTTTAAACAAAAAATATGCACCAAAAATGCCCACAAATTCAGCTAAATCTCCTTTAAAGATCTTCTTTAGAAGATCTTTTATTCTTTGGACTAACTGTGAAGAAACTGATGGAAGGTTTGTTTATTATGTTCTAAATGGAGTTTTGTTTACTACTCAAAATAAAGTGGTTCTCCTTAAAAAAAAAAAATAATAATCCTGTATGTGTAGTGACCGATGTAACTGGACTTATTGTTATCATTTCAAAATATACACAAACATCGAATCATTATGTTGTGTACCTGAAACTAATGTTGTCTGTCAATTACACCTAAATTTTAAAAACTGTTATTAATATATATCCACACCTAAAGAACAGGTACCACTAAACAGGATGTGGTAACCCTGAACATCTTGACATGTAGAGATAAATACAATCTATTGTTAAGCTTTTGAAAGGATGGTGGTTTACAGACCAATACATGTAATATCAATCTACTGATTCAAAAAATATAAATCTATATATTGATAAATATTTATCTTTATATACACATAGAAAAAGAATATACCCCAGCTCTCTCTGGAGGGTGCTACAGAGCTCCCAACTGCTCCATACTTCATGCACTTTACACTGCTCGAAAACTGTTTTATTAGAACAATGAGCATGTATTTCTTTTATAATGAGAGGAAAAGTCCACTTAAAAATCCATAAGCAGACTTTTCCCCCCTTAGGAGCCCTTGGGCAACGTCATTTTCCCGCTTCTCCAAAACACAGGGATTGTGCAAGATTTCCACTGCAGAGGTGTAACTGCTTATTTCAACTAAGATAATCTGTTTGGGCATAAACCTTATCTTGGCTAATAGCTAATGAGTTACTCTCAAGGAGCTATCAATGTTTAATCTACATTAGCAGCAGCTTAACTTGTTTCAAAATAAGTCTAGTTCAGGGTTGAATTTTTTTTTGTTTTTGTTTTAAACATTAAAGGATACAGACAATGATGCCTTTAATTCACAGTTATCTGCCACAGAGCAAACTCTTGCCAATCCCATACCTGCTCACTTCGGCACGAGGTAATTTGCTGTACAATTCCATCATGTCGATGGCTGATGCTGATTCCCACCCACTCGACAGGAGCCGTTCTTTCTAAAATGTGCAGTGGAGAGAAAGGGAGAGGACAACGTGCTGTCATAGGACCCGAGACACTCTTCATGCACACAGAATTTCCCTCAGAGGACTCCTCTTTCAAAAGCCCACCATGGCCACTATCATCTTGCTTTTTTTTTTTAATTTTCCCATTTTCTATACTGAACACGCATTGTTACAATGGGGGAAAATGCACACTAAAGTATAATATTTAAACAGAAATAAAGGAAGAAACTTTTCTATAAGCAACAGTTTTTTAAAGTACCCCAGTGGTAATGTGACACAAGCCATGTAAAAACTAACGTATTTAAATGGGGGCAGGGGTAGGAAGTGTTACTTTAGCAAAATATTTTCAAAGGTGGGGGAGTGGTGGGGGCGGGAACTATTACAGGTTCCAAGAGATTTAAGGGATCGATCAGTCAAGTACAAAGTGGGAACCACGTTTGGATCCTGATTCAAATATACCAACTATGAACATTTTTTTAGACGACTGGAGAAAACTGGAGATGAATTGGGTGTTAGATGCTATGAAGGAGTTCGTGTCGACTTGTAAGGCGTGATAATGGTATCATCATTATCCTGGGGGGTAGAAGGTCCTCATTTTTTTTTTTAGTTAATTATTTTATTTTTGGCTGCTTTGGGTCTCTTTTTGCTGTACGCGGGCTTTCTCTAGTTGCAGCAAGCGGGGGCTACTCTTTGTTGCAGTGCGCGGGCTTCTCATTGTGGTGGCTTCTCTTGTTGCGGAGCACAGGCTCTAGGCGCGTGGGCTTCAGTAGTTGTGGCACGTGGACTCAGTAGTTGTGGCTCATGGGCTCTAGAGCACAGGCTCAGTAGTTGTGGTGCACAGGCTTAGTTGCTCCGCAGCACGTGGGATCTTCCCGGATGAGGGCTCGAACCCGTGTCCCCTGCATTGGCAGGCGGATTCTTAACCACTGCGCCACCAGGGAAGCCCAGAAGCTCCTTATTGGTAGGAGAGTCACCCTGAAGTATTTATGGAGAAAATGATATACTGTCTGGGATTTGCCTTAAAATATTCCAACGACACCACCAACAAAAATTTGGAGGCGGGGGGATAAATCAAACGATAATGACAAAATGTTATTAAATTATTGAAGCTGGCTGATGGAATATGGGTGTTCATTTAAACTATTCCCTCTACTCTTATGTTGTTTGAAAAATGGCATAATAAGAAGTTAAGATAACAGGGGGTCGGAAATGTAAATCTGCATCTTCCATACCAAGATGGCAGGACAGGGCTTGGATTTCCCCCACGTGGAGCCCTAGCTGCCTGGAGGCAGGCACTCACGAGGGACTCTCACATTCTCTTGTCTGTGAAGGGAGGGTGCCCTTTCTCGGTTGGCTAATGGTACAAGAGGACGTCCTGGTCTCTGCCCTCTGACCTGAGACTCTAATGACTTGCAGGTCTCCACTCCCGCCAGGTCACACTGTCGTCTCCGCAGGTTCTCAATCATGATCTGCCCAAACCGGTCTTCCATGTTCACCTGGGAAGGGACAGAGGAGGCTGGGCATTGCCATAAGGATCTCTTTGTTTGTTAAATATGCAAGATTAAAACAACAGCATCCTATTTCTAACCAGTCAAGGCTGATAATACCAACTGCAGGTCACAGAATCCTGAGTGCCATGCTGATGGAGTAGAGCCCCTCGAAAGGCAATTGGGCAATGTCCATTCATTGCAAACACTCAGTCTGGGATCCAACAATTCCACTGCCAGCAACCTGTCCTATAGATAGACTCACACGTGAATGCAAAGATGCAAGCACATTTACTGCAGCATTATGTATGATAGGAAGAATCTGGGAAGAACTTAAATACTCATCATTTGGGGTTAAATTAATTCTGGCATGTTCATATAATGAAATACTATATAGCTGTGAAAACAGGAAAGGAAGATAGATAGATAAACAGACAGACAGATATGAAATGATCCCTAAGATAAACTCTTGAAAAGTAAGGTACAGAGGAATGTGTATAGTATGCTCCCATCTGCCTTTAGGGGGGGAAAAAAAAAAAAAAAGAAACTCTCTCCACATTTATATATGCACAGGAAAATTCTGGAATACAGCAAGGTTGCTTTCCAGATTAGAGGCTGAGGTCTTGGGTAGATAAGAGACTTACTTTTCTTTGTCTACCCTATCGAACTATATGATTTTTTGTTTTATTCTGCATGTGGCATTACTTTTTGAATAAAAAACTGGTTTATAAAACATAATTTATATATGTGCACAACTGTCACAAAACAAAATATTATGTACATGGGAATTCCCTGGTGGTCGTGGATAAGAGTCCGTGCTTTCATTGCCGAGGGCGTGGACTCGATCCCTGGTTGGGGAACTAATATCCCACAAGCCGCATGCAGTGAGGCCAAAAATATATATATATATATATTATGTACATTATTGTATTGATAGCATATACACTGTTATTTTGTCATGTACAAGGTATCAAAAATTCAGCACTTTAACAATATACGAAGTGATTCCCGGATTCATAAGCCAACACCAATGCCAACGCTGCAAAACAAAATCCAATGTTACTCTTTATTAGGGGGATGCATAAGGCTTATGTGGCACTAATGATAGGATTGCACACTATTCATTCAGGATACAAGCATATCTGTGAGCACAAACTCCTTCATTTTATTGCCTAGGTTTGAATCCTGGCTTGATACTTAATGGCTGTGAGGCTGTGAGCAAGATGCCTAACCCCTTGGTTCAATAGTCCTCTTACCTGTAAAACTAGGATAGTACTAGTACCTACCTTGAGGGTTGTTGTGATGATTAAATAAGTTAATATATATGAAACTCAAATAGCGCCTGCTATACAAGTCATCAGACTCTAAGAATGTGCAATAATTATCATTACTGAAATAACCGTCATCCATGTGGTTTTGTCATTTAACCACTAATTAAAAAATAATACATGTTATGTGAGCGATTGACAAATGTGAGGATGATGATTCTGTACTTGTTAGGAAAGAACTGAATTAAGTTAAAAGTTTATTATTCACAAAATGAAGGTGTTGGGTAGGGTTTAACCCCATCTAAAGACAGCTGTGGTCAACATATTGAAAACTGGCACATTCTCAGGCTTGTTCCAAAGTGACAGTGTCTCTAGTCAAAACTCACTTAACCCATTGTCTCTCATGTGATGTTGAATAAAGGTTTGTTGAATAAAAGAATACAAAAATGAAGCAGAGTGAATGAAACGGTACACATCCGAAATGTGTGGAAACATGGGAAGTGGAATTCCTTTTCCCCCAGGTATGGTATCCTGAAAGCAAAGACAGGTCACCAGGATTTATCCACATCAATACTAAAGACCGATGAGGCCAGCTACCATTATATCCATTCACTAGGACAGAAGACTGAGTCTGAGGAATGCCTCCAATTAAAGAGAAAAGGAAGAAAAATCAAACAACCAAGAACCACCTATACAGGAACCTGGACTGGGTGATGGGTGGGCAGGAGGCCAGGAGATCAAGGTCTAGCCTTAGACTTCTCCATAGCTATGTGACATTGGGCAAGGTCCTGTACTGTCCTTATCTGTAATAAAATATAAAAATAAAATAAAATGAGGTAAAAAACAAAATAAAATCAATAAAGCTAAACTAAAATAAACAATAAAAGAAGCTAAAGTGTATTCAGTGCTTATCATTAGTCCACTGCTGTTCAACATCTCATGAATTCCCATAATAATCCAGAGAAGCAGGTATTCTTTTTTTTTAATGAATGCACTTGCCACATTTAATCTGAATTATTTAGACTTGAGAGGTAGGTATTCTTATCCTAGGTATCTATGTACCTAGATACCTAGATACCTAGGTATCTAGGTAGGTATCTCTATCAGAGAGATCCAAATGTTAGCTAACTTAATAATAGCTTACTTAATAGCCAGGCAATGCTGTAAATGCTTGTGCACCTATTAACTCATTTATTAATTATGAAGTCGGGATATTATTATCCTCACTTTTCTGATGAGGAAGCAGGCACAGAGAGGTTAAGTAACTTGTCTAGGTCACACAGCTAGGCAGTCTGCCTCCAGAGCATGGACTCCCAACCACCAAGCAATTCTGCTCAGGTCACACAGTCAATAATAAGAGCTAGGGCCAAGATTCAGATCCAATCTGAATTATTCCGAAGCCCTAAAACATAACCCCTTTCGGCACTAGATCAAAGGAGAAAAACAGGGAGCTCGAGGGCCAAGCTCAGTGATTTCAGAAAGTAGGAAATTTTACATTAAAATCCTGCATTCCTAAACTTTCTTAAAAAACTGGGAGTTCAGGCAACTCCAGGCTCACTCCACATGGTAACAGTTGGCTGGAACTGAATAGTGGGCACCCCATGAAATGGGACATGGGTGCCCCAGTTCACCACAGTCCCCATCACTCCACACTATATAACACCTAACCAACTGCCTGCATCTGCATCACTGCCTGCCTCTCAAGGCATCTGAGTTTGCTACCCCTACACTGATGATAGCCAAAATTCCTTCCATCAAAGGCTATGACTTTACAGGAAACACAATGATAAGAACTCAAACAACTTTCTTAAAGGACAAGACAGAAGTTCCAAATACTCTGGCTAAAAGTTGGCCGGCAGTCAAGAGCTCAGGAGTACTAGGTTTGCGGGAACTGATTAATAAAGGAGATATGTGAGTGGCTGGAGGCAGAAGGAAAAGAGTAAGTGAAAACATATTCCGAGGGTGCTCAGAGAGAGAAAGCCACCACTGGAGTCCCAAGCAGAAGGCAAATTCCTTGTGCTTCCTTTTACCTGTTCGTAGTTTATGAACATGGCAGTCTCAAAACTCTTGGCTGCCCACTTGAGGAGGTTTGTAGACTGCTCCGGAGTCATGTAAACCAGCACACACTCAGCTATCAGGAGGGTTGGCAATCTTAACGAAAGAAAAAAAGGGCACATAAATATGTTTTCATCAAAACGGGACTCTCAAATTGCACTCACATTACAGGGAGGGCACTTCATACCCCAGGAAAACCAGAAGCACTAGTTTTCACATCAACAATCAGTGCATCGGAGCCCGAAGTTTTACACTGTAAAAAGGTGAGCAATCAGCAATGAGTTTTGTCTTGCTGGTGAAAATGTGTTAAATGTGTGTGGTAAACTATAAAAATAGCTAGAGTCTTCCCTACCGTGCACCCACAGTGCGGCGATGTGAACCCACAGATTCTCCCACTAAGGAGGTGAACCTTATTTCCCTTCCCCTGGAATCTGGGTTAGTCATGTAACTTGCTTTGGCCAATGGAACAGCAACAGACAGGATACAAGCAGAAGCTCGGAAATGACTTACACACTGGTGCTTGCTCTCTTGCTGCACTTGGAAACCTGAAACCACCATGTGAATGAACCCAAGCTAGCTTACCACTGGAGGGGAGGTCCTGTGGATGAGAATGAGGCAGCCCAGCTGACCTGCCCACTGTCCACACATGACTGAACCCCAGGGCACATCACCTAAACCTGGCCCCCAGCAGACGAGCCACCCACCTCAGCCCAGGCCAGGTAAAGACGGCTATATGGGAGTTTTTTGTATTATTTTTGTAACTTTTTTGTAGATTTGAATTATTTAAAAATGAAGTTACACATTTTTACAATATATTTTCTAAGAGGTAGCCATTAGCAATATTAAAAAAGAGGATTAATATTTTTCAAAATATAAGTGAAAGAAAAGCAAAGACAAGACAGCCCATAAAGGAAAACAGAATACAAATGGAACCACAAGGAGAAATAGATAATTCGAATACTTGTTTCAACAATTGTTTTTCATCCATTTTATAGATCTCCAAAAGCGAGGCAAACTTCCCTATCAAGAGCTAGCCCAATTTATACCCAGTTACTTCCCTAACCTTCCAGCACATCTGCCAAAACAGATGGTTACTGCAACTATAGTTAGAGTCAGAGGCAACTGACTCAGGGCCTATATCACGTGTCAATTCCTGTTCAACTGTTTTTGCATGCCGTTACCTGATCTTCAAAACCATCTTGTGAGATAGTTTTTAGCCCAGTTAATAAATGAAAACACTAAGGCTCAAAAAGATTAAAAAAAAAAAAAAAAAAAA